AAACCCAAAATCGCAAGTTCTGCTATTCGGACGACATTATTATATTATATATATATATTTATAATATATATATATATATATATATATATATATATATATATTATATATATGTAATATATATATATATATATATATATATATATATATATAGTTCTCTCATTATTTTTTATCATTTGAAGCGACCAAAGTCCCGGGACTGAAACGTCTCCACTAAAGATGTCCTCACTTGTGTTCTATCATCCAACAGTCAACCGTCTCGTACACCAAATTTTGTGAAAAAAAAAATAAAGTAAAAAGTCACCAGTTATTAATATAATAATCCTTGCAAGGGGCGTTCAGATAAACATGCCAACCATGCAAATTACCAAGCTATAATTTCGAGATGCCTTCAATAGCACCAACGTGTATTTTTGTACAGGAAGCCGCTGTTGGAAGAGGCTGGAAGCTACAAGATAAATAACTGGTAGTGGAGAGAAATGGTATAAAATACCGACACGATGAATAAAGACAAATGAAATGTAATACCATTCTTCACCGACAATTTTCTCTTATACGTTTAAATATATATTTTTTCATTTATGTTAATGTAAAAATTAATAACTTTGTACCAAAAGAGCCTTAGAAAACTTACCTAACCTTATTAAAAGAAGCGCAGTTTAATTTAGCCGCCTAATCCACCTAAATATATTTTAGATAAGTTTACTCTAATTTAATAATAAATAAACACAGTGAAATACATTTTTTCATTAGGTTCAGAATGATTTTTGAGAAATTATTGCATACACAAATTTTCCCTTGCCTTATTCGGCAAGAAGAGCGTTGATATTTAAGCCAAAATCGCAAGTTTTACCTATTTGGCACGACATATATATGTATACATACATACTCAATCCATTTTTCTCCGACTAGGAAAAAGCTCACTGCGTAGGCGAAACGTCGCAAATAAAGAATAGCATTATACTGCACCTGTAACTGCTAGTGAATTGGATGGATGGACATGCAACACCAGAAGCTGTTCTGGATCTGCTAACATTCAACTATTTTGAAAGTGTACCATACTTAAATCTATTTGTAAATCAAATATTCTGAGGTTCACTGATGTGTAAACTGAGACTTTGATCATTATCAATGTCTCAGATCTGACATGGCTGATGGCTGATAAGCAAGACACTTGTGCAACAACCGGGTACCTTAATTCTGGAAACGTTTCGCCAGCCAGTAGCTTCTTCAGTCCAATGAAAAGAAACGTGGAAGTCGAGGAGTTTGAGGTAATCAGTCCCTCAAGTTGGAGTCGATGTATTCAAAGTTGATATAAAAGTGCAGCGTATTCTGTTTTCAAAACTATTTAGTTTCAGACACTAATATCTTGGAATCTTGATACAATACAATACGATTTTATTTCTTTGTTAAGGTAACAATGCATGTTTAAATTTCATAATCTGAATGGAACAAAGAAAGCCACCATCATGCCGAGGCATTTCGGGCTTGTCTAACCTACAGACACGACCTGCTTCTACTAGTGGTTTTCCCCACTGGTGGCTCCGCCTGCCACTGCTCCACCTCATCCGTCATCAGAATATATGCCTCATCTCCGTGAATATGCAATACCGACGAGATGAAAAAATACACAAATGCCGTATAATGCAATCCTTTAGGATCGCATTATACTGTATTTGTGTATTTTTCTTACGATACGTGAACTAACACAAGGACATATTTATTAGAAAACGTTTCGGTCCTGGGACCTTGATCACTTCTAACACACAGAAGTAGGTATAAGGTTTGTTAGGAAACAGGACAAGTGTTTCCTGATGCAGGTCACAGTCTTATGGTGAACCGCAGCTGGAGTATTTTGTCATCTGACCGAGGCCTTCCGCTGGTTTACTTGTCCACCCCTTTAAAAATCATGGTAATGATTCTAACCATTCCTACCTAACAACACACAGTTTATAATGACTATGTACAGGGGGAGTGGGGAGTGACACACATGACTTGAAAAATGCCATATTGAGGTAAGGATAGGTAGAAAGTGAGATGCGAGTCCTGTGTTGTTAGGTACGTGGTGCCTTGCCTGGCTGAGAATCATAAATGCTTATTTTTGTAAACTCTGTAGTGTCCAGTGTTATGTTTTAGTTCTATGGTGTCGGTAACGGCGATTAGAAAGGCTAATCGGTATCAATTACCAAGGTTCATACCATTTTTCCTACTGACTCGTGCACTGAGTTCTGATGGTATGAATCTTCACTGATACCGTCAGGGGCTTTCATGAAGACAAGTGACCAAACATACTAAGACATTTAACGTTTCGCAACGTTTTTCTTATATGTCCTAATGTTTGCACACGTGTGTTTTAAAGCCACTACAAGGAGTGAGATGCCGTGAACAGAGGGGTGCTGAAAAATAAAATTAGGTGAAGGAAGCGCAGGTGACACACGGCGGTGTGCTAGGAGGGTACCTAATTAACACCTTCACGAGCAGACTCCTGAGGAACACGATCTTCCAGAATGGTGTGAAGACCACATTTGTTCCGTTAATATTTCTGATATCTGCTGGTAGCAGGTGGCACTCCCCCTACCCCTAACCCCCTCTTCCCCCACATTCTCAAAGGGTTACTAACAAACGTGTGCCTCTGGTAGCTCAACACCTAAGACCTGAAATACTAACATTTTTCACAGTGGCCTCCGACCATTTTCGTTCTGTGGGACGTGTGGCATAGCACTCTCCTCTCCCACATCTGCCCATTAAGGAAAGTGGTGGGATATCACTCCAGGTATCTTAATGGATATTTAATGAGTCACGAATATATGCCATTTACCCATAATGGGTCAAGCCATTTTTAATTCCCTGTCGGGTTATCCTGGAGCTTCCAAGCTGAGTTATACTGATACTGTGAATGATACTGATACCGTATACTGATATTGATACTGTGAATGATACTGACATTGTGAACGATACTGATATTGTGAACGATACTGATACTGTGAACGATACTGATACTGTGATACTGATACTGTGAATGATACTGATACTGTGGATAATGTGTTAAATCTCTGCTTAAAAACCCAAGAACAAAAGAATATAAACACACCAGATGTTTGGTCAACCAGTGGTTTTATCAGTGCAAAACAGTGACAGATAGAAAACTATAGAACAGGTAATCAGTCCCTCAATCTTGCAGAATTATACTCAGAAGACAATGGCAGAAGAGGTAATCAGTCTCTTCAACTGTCGCACCTCAACTGACTCCGGTACATAGACTGTGGTCGTAATAGTAGTGGTAGTACTACCACTAGTACTACTACTATTCGTAGTACTACTAGTGGAAGTACCACTGGCAGTAGTAGTATTACTACTACTACTAGTGGTAGTACGACTACTAGTGGTAATACCACTACTACTAGTGGTAGTACCACTACTAGTGGTAGTACCACTAGTGGTAGTACCACTACTAGTGGTACACTACTAATGTGTACCACTAGTGTTAGTACCACTACTAGTGGTAGTACCACTACTAGTTGGTAGTACCACTACTATGGACATACTAATGGTAGTACAACAACTAGTTGTACACTATAGTGGTAGTACCACTACTGGCTTAAAAGACCACTAGGCAAACACTATGACATATTTGCTTACGTGTCTTTCTAAACCAACTTGTTGGTATTTGTTACCAAGGTTTGTACCAGCACCACTACTACCAGTAGTAATATTACTGCTAGTGTCTTATTTATCGATATTGCAACTTGGAACGGGCGGGGGCTTGAACCCATGGCTAATGAATCCTAAAACCCACAAGCCAGTGTGTTAACCACTGGGCCAAATGACTCTAGAAAAATTCATTATGAATTCGTTAGTGAAATCTATGTCGTTTCTATACGTGTTCGACGTCGTGATGGCTGCATGCTGGTGCTGCGTACACGAGAGGCCTAACACAAGGGGTATATGTTGCGTGTTCTGGAAATCTTCCACCTTACCTTCTACAGTATCTAAGACTTCTTTCTCATGCTTCAGTTTCATATCGTTCCAAGGCTGATGGACTGATTACATCATTTCACTACTACACCTGCTGCCTCTGTATCTGACTGAAGAAGTCTACTGTGTAGGCGATAAGTTTCAACAATAAAGATACCCAACTGTTGCACATGTGTCTTAACGGTGTAAATATGGTGGAGGATGATGAGTTTGAGGTAATCAGTCCCTCAGCCTGAGGTCATTAATTTCCCTAAAATACCTAAACAATGACTTATCTGACTGTGCTCAAACACACACGCTGGTCTATCTCAATTACATTTTTTTAAATTAACAACACTTGTTGTTACAGGCATTGTACTCCTAATTCTCTTCAGCAGCGTCAGTCTGAGCCGGCAGACTTCAGCAGCGTCAGTCACAGCTGCCAGACTTCAGCAGCGTCAGTCTGAGCTGCCAGACTTCAGCAGCGTCAGTCTGAGCTGCCAGACTTCAGCAGCGTCAGTCTGAGCTGCCAACTTCAGCAGCGTCAGTCTGAGCTGCCAGACTTCAGCAGCGTCAGTCTGAGCTGCCAGACTTCAGCAGCGTCAGGTTACTGAGCTGCCAGACTTCAGCAGCGTCAGTCTGAGCTGCCAGACTTCAGCAGCGTCAGTCACAGCTGCCAGACTTCAGCAGCGTCAGTCACAGCTGCCAGACTTCAGCAGCGTCAGTCTGAGCCTGCAGACTTCAGCAGCGTCAGTCACAGCTGCCAGACTTCAGCAGCGTCAGTCTGAGCCTGCAGACTTCAGCAGCGTTAGTCTGAGCCTGCAGACTTCAGCAGCGTCAATCACAGCAGCGTCAGTCACAGCTGCCAGACTTCAGCAGCGTCAGTCACAGCTGCCAGACTTCAGCAGCGTCAGTTACAGCATGCCAGACCTTCAGATGCAGCGTCAGTTACAGCTGCCAGACTTCAGCAGCGTCAGTCTGAGCCTGCAGACTTCAGCAGCGTCAGTCACAGCCGCCAGACTTCAGCAGCGTCAGTCTGAGCCTGCAGACTTCAGCAGCGTCAGTCACAGCTGCCAGACTTCAGCAGCGTCAGTCACAGCTGCCAGACTTCAGCAGCGTCAGTCACAGCTGCCAGACTTCGGCAGCGTCAGTCAAAGCTGCCAGACTTCAGAAGCGTCAGTCACAGCTGCCAGACTTCAGCAGCGTCAGTCACAACTGCCAGACTTCAGCAGCGTCAGTCACAACTGCCAGACTTCAGCAGCATCAGTCACAACTGCCAGACTTCACAGCAGCGTCAGTCACAGCTGCCAGACTTCAGCAGCGTCAGTCACAGTTGCCAGACTTCAGCAGCGTCAGTCACAGCTGCCAGACTTCATCAGCGTCAGTCTGAGCCTGCAGACTTCAGCAGCGTCAGTCTGAGCCTGCAGACTTCAGCAGCGTCAGTCATAGCTGCCAGACTTCAGCAGCGTCAGTCTGACCTGCAGACTTCAGCAGCGTCAGTCACACTGCCAGACTTCAGCAGCGTAGTCGAGCCTGCAGACTTCAGCAGCGTCAGTCTGAGCCTGCAGACTTCAGCAGCGTCAGTCACAGCTGGCAGACTTCAGCAGCGTCAGTCACAGCTGGCAGACTTCAGCAGCGTCAGTCACAGCTGGCAGACTTCAGCAGCGTCAGTCACAGCTGCCAGACTTCAGCAGCGTCAGTCACAGCCGCCAGACTTCAGCAGCGTCAGTCTGAGCCTGCAGACTTCAGCAGCGTCAGTCACAGCTGCCAGACTTCAGCAGCGTCAGTCTGAGCCTGCAGACTTCAGCAGCGTCAGTCACAGCTGGCAGACTTCAGCAGCGTCAGTCACAGCTGGCAGACTTCAGCAGCGTCAGTCACAGCTGGCAGACTTCGGCAGCGTCAGTCACAGCTGGCAGACTTCGGCAGCGTCAGTCACAGCTGGCAGACTTCGGCAGCGTCAGTCGCAGCTGCCAGACTTCAGAAGCGTCAGTCACAGCTGGCAGACTTCAGCAGCGTCAGTCACAGCTGGCAGACTTCGCACGTCAGTCACAGCTGGCAGACTTGGGCCAGCGTCAGTCACAGCGGGCAGACTTCGGCAGCGTAAAGTCACAGCTGGCAGACTTCGGCAGCGTAAATCGCAGCTGCCAGACTTCAGAAGCGTCAGTCGCAGCTGCCAACTTCAGCAGCGTAAAGTCGCAACTGCCAGATTTCCCAGACGTCAGTCGCAACTCCCAGACTTCAGCAGCGTCAGTCACAACCCCCAGACTCAGCACGTAAAGTCACAACTGCCAGACTTCAGCACGTCAGTCAAAAACTGCAGACTTCAGCAGCGTCAGTCACAACTGCCAGACTTCAGCAGCGTCAGTCACAACTGCCAGACTTCAGCAGCGTCAGTCACAACTGCCAGACTTCAGCAGGGGTCATCACAACTGCCAGACTTCAGCAGCGTCAGTCACAACTGCCAGACTTCAGCAGCGTCAGTCACAACTGCCAGACTTCAGCAGCGTCAGTCACAACTGCCAGACTTCAGCAGCGTCAGTCACAACTGCCAGACTTCAGCAGCGTCAGTCACAACTGCCAGACTTCAGCAGCGTCAGTCACAACTGCCAGACTCAGCAGCGTTCAGTCACAACTGCCAACTTCAGCAGCGTCTCAAGTGGCAGACTTCAGCAGCGTCAGTCACAGTTGCCAGACTTCAGCAGCGTCAGTCACAGTTGCCAGACTTCAGCAGCGTCAGTCACAGCTGCCAGACTTCAGCAGTGTCAATCAGAGGTGGCAGACTTCAGTAGTGTCAGACAGAGGTGGCAGACTTCAGTAGTGTTAATCAGAGGTGGCAGACTTCAGTAGTGTTAATCAGAGGTGGCAGACTTCAGTAGTGTTAATCAGAGGTGGCAGACTTCAGTAGTGTTAATCAGAGGTGGCAGACTTCAGTAGTGTTAATCAGAGGTGGCAGACTTCAGTATGTTAATCAGAGTCAGACTTCAGTATGTCAGACAGAAGTGGCAGACTTCAGTAGTGTCAGACAGAGGTGGCAGACTTCAGTAGTGTCAGACAGAGGTGGCAGACTTCAGTAGTGTAAGACAGAGGTGGCAGACTTCAATAGTGTCAGACAGAAGTGGCAGACTTCAATAGTGTCAGACAGAAGTGGCAGACTTCAGTAGTGTCAGACAGAGGTGGCAGACTTCAGTAGTGTCAGACAGAAGTGGCAGACTTCAGTAGTGTCAGACAGAGGTGGCAGACTTCAGTAGGACAATGATATGGTCAAGTATACCATTAAATGTTCATCAGCTACGACAGCTTCAAAGGTAACCTTCCAGCAGAACAAATTCACTTTTTAAACTAAAACTGGGCTGTGTAGGTGCCAACTGGACCGAGTAGGTTATTAAACCGTCTCTATCTTCCTCAATAAGTGGACAATAAAACAAACTGTTCGAGAAAGTGATCATAAAGGCTGACCACCAACACGCAAGAGAAACATATTGCGGAAACTAAGACATCACATCAAAAAAACATTTCGCCATACAGACTTTGCCAAAGCCTCTGTGTGGCGCAATGAGAAGAGAGATCAAGACCAACAGACAGACATCAACGAAATAAAGTCAGCTGACCAAATGAATTTGCTGGTCGACAGATGGCTCCAGCTTCATCCTGTTCCTTGTTTGTATGTTTCATCACAGTAAAAAGGCTTTCAAATGAGCTGATGTAGGTAACAGCTCTGAGCTTTTAAATAAAGTTAGGAACCTGACCCTAACTTTGTAAAACCCAGTGTAAAAAAAAAAGAGAAAGAAAGAGAGAACGAGAGAGAAAGAGAGCAAGAACGAGAGAAAGAGATCGAGAGAAAGAGAACGAAAGAGAAAGAGAGAACGAGAGAGAGAGAAAGAGGAACGCGCCACAAAGTACCCGCCAAAGTGTCAACCAGGATCGGGACCGTCGCCTTCCCGCCAATTTCACCTGCCAATAAGCAGAAATGGCGCGTCTCTCAGAAGGCAACTGACTGCTGAGACTCTCTCTCAGAAGGCAAAAGAGTGCTGAGATACTCACTCAGAAGGCAACAGACTGATGAGACTCTCTCAGAAGGCAACAGACTGCTGAGACTGTGTCTCAGAAGGCAACAGATTGCCGAGACTCTCAGAAGGCAACAGACTGCTGAGACTCTCAGAAAGCAACAGACTGCTGAGACTGTGTATCAGAAGGCAACAGACTGCCGAGACTCTCAGAAGGCAACAGATTGCCGAGTCTCTCTCTCAGAAGGCAACAGACTGTTGAGACTCGCTCTCAGAAGGCAACAGACTGTTAAGACTCTCTCAGAAGGCAACAGACTGTTGAGGAGGAGCAAAGGAAAAAATGAATCTCTATTTACGTGCGCAGGAGCAGACAAGAGCCCGTAAGGGCTGATATTGCGGGCTATCTCAGAGGGTTGTCTACCTTCTCGTCCTCATTACCTCGCTCCTCTCAGTGAAACCTCAGAATTCAAAATTAAACGTTATGTTCCAGTGAGAGTTTGGCTGCACGGTTGTGGTGATGGTGGCGGTAGTGATGATGGTGGTGGTGGTAGTGATGGTGATGGTGGTGGTGGTGGTGGTGGTAGTGATGGTGATGGTGATGGTGGTGGTGGTGGTAGTGATGGTGATGGTGGTAGTGTAGTGGTGATAGCTATGATGATGGTGATAGTGATGGTAATGAGTGATGGTGATAGTGGCAATGGTATCGTAGTGGTATTGTAGTGGCAGTAGTATCGTAGTGGTGGCAGTGGCAGTAGGCGAAACGTTTCGGAATAAAGTTGTCTAACTGTTGCATATGTGTCTTACCTAACAACCTGTCGGTATTGTATACCATTTTGATGTTCATCTTGTCAGACACTGCAACACATGGCATCTTGGTACAGAAAACACCTTGGACAAGCTTTTCAAGTGAGAAGTGTTGGATCTGAGAGGGACATGACCTCTCAGTGGTTACATTCTCACTACTACTACTACTACTCTGCACCTCTCCTTCCGACAGTATTTAAGTCTCCGCACTGTCGCTTGATCTTCAGATAGTTCCTGACTATGGAACTGAACTTCTCC